TGAAAAATAAAATTCATTTCAAGTCAAATTATTAAATCATATTTCGACGCGCTATTTAAAAATGTAGGAGCTATTTGACTCTTAAAAAATATTAAAAATTTATATTTGTAATTTAAGTTAACAGAAGAAAAACTATTTTATTTATTTTTAAAGCACAACAAAAAGTTTATGTAAAAAATAAGGCAAGAAGAAAGTCTTTTAATTTAAGTGAATAAAAATCCAACTGAAGTGAATAATAATAATAATAACTAAAGTGTATTTAGTGGGGGAAATAAGGATGATAGGAAGGAGATAACAATCTTTAAATTATATGGGAAAATAAATAATTGTCTCCTGATTAAGAAACCAGTTGTTATTCGGAGCCGCTCTATTACGGCAAATATTGATAGTTTGATCGGACCTTCCTCCTTACAGCTCCGCAAGCGACATTTTTGATATTTTTTTGTATTTTTCGATGTTTTTTGCCTTGCGTTTTGGATTATGCTCAGTTATCTCTTGCGCACTCTTGATACTTACAATGCAAAGGAGGACTGTCAGGGCTAAACTTTTGCGAAACTTAATTTCATAACAATTCAATGCACTTTTTATTTTATTAAGAAATTTTTATTTAAAAAATTTATTTAAAATTTTTTAAATAAATCCTCCCTATGCTGTTTGTTATTTTTTAAAAAGCGATTAATGCCCTCTCTATTGAGAAGGCATTACTCTTGGGGATACATAGGGGAGGGGGCATGACACAGGGCAAGTCGTGGAGCATGACACGATGCATTCCCTCTCTCTCTCTCTCTATTCACGTGTAATCTGTTTATTGGCATTGCCATCTTTCTTGACATGCCCTTGCTAGCATTGCCTTTATTGCTTTAAAAAAATTTTCAGTAAATTGGCGATTGATTTTTTATTTCATAAGGTGGGGAATGATGGAAAAATTGTAAAAACTAACAATAAACAGATGTTTTTAACAGATGTTTTAGCAATAATTGTTTTTGACAGTTAGTGTATCAATTTGCTATTATTTAATTTCAATTCCGTGGCCTACAACACTGACCAGAAGCCCTACAACACTGAGCTATATATTTTTTAATAAAATCTTCCGTCGTTAAGACAGAGCTGCTTTTTATTTATCTCGGGCTCTACCCGGTTCGCTGTCGACCGTGCCATTTGTTATGTCCGAGCTTTCATTAGAAAATAAATAATTAAACGTATTAGATTTGTCTCTCGGATTTACCGAGGATAAGCCCAAAATAAATATATAAATTTATCTTTCAATTTAATATAAACAATATATGGTCGATGGGGTTAGGGGCAGTATAAAGTCTCTCTCAAAAGAGGTCTCTCGTAAAGGAGGTCGAAAATAAGGAAATAAGTTTGGGGTTTATATACAGGTGAAAATGGGTGGAAAAGTACAAAGTAAAATGATATAAGGAAAAGGTCAATGTCGGTCATTTAAATATATGAAAGGGAATGTGAAAGATTGGAAAATAATATAAAATGATTATAAACTGATGGTCGATCCAACAAAGGAAATATTTGAATTATTTGTTGGGGGAATAAGTTTAAATTAAAAAGGTCAAAAACATTTAAAATAATATTAATAACAAAATATTTAAATAAATACTTCAAGCATATACATCAGTAGCAGGTTCAATTCCTTCAAAACCCCAAATTTAACTTCATGTCGAATTTTTTCACTATTTATTTTATTAAGAAATTTTTTATAAAAAAATATTTTTTCAATAAAGTGAATGAATCCTCTCTATAATTCTTATTATTTTTATCCAACGCTGAATAATATTTATTTTGCCGAGCTCTTCCCCCCCCCCCCCCCTCCATCTCTCTATTGCCTTCATTCACGTCCCCCCTCCCTACCCTCCCCCCCCCTCCATCTCTCTATTGCCTTTATTCACGTCCCCCCTACTCTCCCCCCTCCATCTCTCTATTGCCTTCATTCACATCTCCCCCCCCCCCTCCATCTCTCTATTGCCTGCATTCACGTCCCCCCCCCCTACCCATCCCCCCTCCATCTCTCTATTGCCTTCATTCACGTCCACATCCCCTTTACCCTCTCTCTCTCTTTATTGCCTGCATTCACGTGAAATCTATTTTTTGGTATTGCCATCTTGAATTGCCATATTTGACATGCCCTTTCTAGCATTGATTATTGAGATAGAGAAAAAAATTTTAAATTATCGATCCTAAAAAATTATAAAAAAATAAATAGCTAGTGTTTTTGATAGGAACAAATGTTTTGGGAAAGTTTTTGACAGTTACATTGGAGACTCTCCATTACTTGATCCTCTCTCATACTTCATTCTCTCCCATATCGCTTCCATGCCCAAAACCGGAGCAGGCCAAGGCGTCCCGGATTTGACAATTTTGAATAAAGTTATAGCTCCGCGGTACCTTGTCGTAGCGGTACCTTGGGGACCCCCTCCCCCACCCAAAACAGTACATTCTGGATTGTCAAGATTTGCTAAGAAATATAAAAATGTGTATTTGAACATAGAAACATTACTATAGATCGTCGATGTCATTTGATTTCGAAACACATCTTCTTATTATACTAAAGAGCAAATAGAAATGACATGCCGTGGTGGTGAGCACACGCGACTTGCAATACGGAGACCCGGGACTTTTACGGAGACCGTGGGACCGAAGGGCTTCCAAATGTTATTTATTAAAAAAGAAAGAAAAAAAGTGGGCGGGAGATATGGGGGAAACTACACAAGTACCGAAATATAGACCAAAATATGTAAATATGTTGAGATATGAACTAAAGATGGAAAATATGGATTGATAACCCATTATCGGTTTTATCAACATATGCTAAAACTATGTTTTATGGGTAAACCCCCTACTTTTTCCTTTCTAAAAGTATTAAAAAATGTATAGAACTCGTCGAGCTGTGTCGAATGACACAAAAATCAACCCCCCCCCCCCCCTTCGGCCTTAACTTTGGGCCGAGATACAGAAAAAACCCTGCGCAAACCGAAAGGTTTTGCAAAATCGTCTCGCGACTACAATAGGATTACTTTATGTCATAATTTTGTCAAATCTTGTTCAATTATGTTGATTTTGATTTCATTCGAATCAGTTTGACAGGCTCTTTTGAATGAGCTATTATTCTGGGGTTGATTTAGGTGTCATTCCACACAGCTCGACGAGTTCTATAACCTAAGACTGACTGACCATTTTTTAATACTTTTAGAAAGGAAAAAGGAGTGGGGGGGGGGGGGGGGGGTACGAACCGAACAATTAACAATGCGGATTGATAACCCATTATCGGTTTTATCAACATATGCTGAAACTTTATTTTTTGTATGGAAATCCATATAAATCCGCTACCTATTCATAAGTAAACACATCAAGTGCCATTGTGGATTTAAAATTGATTTATAATTTTAAATTTAAATTTAAAAATTTCTTTATAACTTTGTTAACTATGTGGATAATCTTTGGTTACCGGATATTAGAAAAGAGCTTTAGTTAGTTGCTAATTTTAGGTTTAAAAAAGTTTTTTTAATTTTAAAATTGAAAAAATTGGCAAGCTTTCAAGCACGCTTGCGATAGATGGGAAGGACGTTTAGGCTCTAAGCCTTAATGGCGTGAGGGCTAAAATTTTGTATGGAAGACTGAAACTATTAAATTTTTTGGATAGAAATATGGTGCAACCGGAAATGGGCATTATTATTATTAGGGTTTGACCCCGACCCCGTTCCCGAACGATTTTTTCACGATTCTCCCCGACCCGAACCCCACCCCGAAAAAAAGTGAAAACCCCGTTCCCCGACCCGAAAAGTTTCGGAGTCCCCGCACCCCCCCCCCCTATTTGAGTCTCAGATTAATTTTTTTACTGTCAATCATTCTTTCCCTCACAAATTTTAAGTAGATGAAAAGTTAGAAGGCCCTCTTTCTAAGGCTCTCTTTCCTCTTTCCCCCCTTCCCTCTTTTAAGGCCCCCTCCCCCCTTCTTTTTTAGCCTCCCCCTCTTCCTTTAGAATTTTTCTCCTTCTAACTTGTCATTTACTTAAAATTTGTGAGGTAATGAATGATTAATAGCAAAAAAAAATGAAAATTAATTTGAGCTCAAATAAGGGTATAAGGATGTGTTGGGTATCGGCTTAGTATAAAAGCCTTCCTATTATTCAGTCGTGGTCTTAGTCTTATTGTCGCAGTGTTATTCTGTTATTCTATTCTGTCTCCACGTATTCGGCGTTTAGCCATATTCCTATTGTTCGTCCTTATTGTATTTAGTATTGTAGATAAAGCACAGTTTGTTAGTCACTGTCTTATCTAGTTGTTTATTCTTGTTAGTACGTAGACATACAAGTCACGTACATAACAGGAAGGACAAATAAGGGTATAAGATGGATATTAATAAAGTACCCGAAAATGATTTGACCACACAAATTTTTAGGTTAAATCGGTTTGTCTTTGGTCAAATTTTCCTGAAATTTTGAGACACATTTGACTATCATTTAGTGTTTGTTCAAAATTTGATGAGTTATACCCAAGCACGTTTTTGAGGTCTCATTTCAGTCAGGTCTGAAGTTAAGACTTTGTTCTAAAGTTTAAGGTAGTGCGCCCAAACGGCACTAACATTATAATTGAAATTCAGATACACGTGGATTAATTTAAAATGTTTAACTCTATACTCAATAAATTTTGACTGTTTAAACATTATGGGCATATACGCAAGCGGATGAAGCAAAAAATTTTTTAATGGGTATTGACTACTTAAGAAAATCTTAATTTTTGAATTTTATTCAATACATAATATTAATTATTTAAATTAATAAAACCTAAAAAAAATAAAAAAATAAAATGCTTTATTTAGTATTAATCTTCTCATCTATCTATCATATCAACGCGGCTCCTCCTTTTGGGCAATTATCTGTGAAAGGTATTTATTTTCTCATTAAATGGACCTTAAAGAGATACCAATAAAATATTTTAAGCAACAAATTGTTGGGCAGTAATGGTCAACCGGCTCAACTTGCTGGAATGTCACTCTTTTGGTCGAACTGTGATGAAGGCAAAATTTTCTACAACGAAGAAACTTTGCGTCAACTCAAATGCGCGTGGAATGCTAATGCTGTCAGAGCGGCAATGGGTGTAGAATCTACTGGGTGTGGAAAGCCGGGTTATCTGGATCTTCCAAATGTTGAGCGTGATAAAGTTGAGGCTGTTGTGCAGGCTGCTATTAAATTGGATATGTATGCTGTTGTTGACTATCACACAGAGCAGGCACAAAACTCGCTGGCTAAAGCGGTAGGCGTTTAAATTGTAGGAGTTTAATGAAACATTGAGGTCTTGTTTAAATCAAAAATTAATTTTCAGAAAGAATTCTTCACTTATTTTGCTTCTAAATATGGAAATTACTCAAACATCATCTATGAGACTTTCAACGAACCTACGACTGACTGGAAGACTGCTAAAGCATATCACGAGCAGATTGTGGCAACAATCCGACAACATGATAAAAATAATATGATAACTCTTGGAACATCTACATGGTCACAAGATGTGGATATTGCTTCTAGAGACCCTGTAAATGGGGCAAATCTTTGCTACACATTGCACGTCTATGCAGCTACTCATAAGCAAAATATACGTGATAAGGCTCAGGCTGCTCTAGATAATGTAATAAGTTTGTAAAATTATTTTTTAAAAAATTTATCATTTAGAATGTTTGCATTTTTGTATCCGAATATGGAACTGTTGGAGCAACTGGTGGTGGAGGTATGGATACTGCATCTATGACTGAGTGGTGGACTTTCTGGGATAAAAACAAAATTTCATACCTAAACTGGGCAATTAGTAATAAGGGAGAAGGATCTGCGGCTCTTAATCCAAATACTGTTGCTTCGGATGTAGGCAATCCTGATCATTGGTCAGCATCTGGAAAATTTGTTCAGTCTCATCTTAAAAACATGGATAACGGGGTCAGCTGTGATGGAAACAAAGGAAAATATCCTTCAGGAGATGATGTAATCACAACAACAAAATCGTCCTCAAAGAATAAATACCCTTCGGGAGACGAAATACCATCAACTAAATCACCTAATATGATTTTAACAACAAAATCGCCTTCAAATGGAAATAACAACAATGGAAAATATCCTTCAGCACCCTCAAATAATAACAGCAACGGGAAATATCCTTCAGGAGACCAAGTAATTACAACAAAATCGCCCAAGAATAACAAAGGAAAAAATACCCCAGCACCTTCAAAGGACAACAACATCGGAAAGTATCCTTCAGGAAATAATGTAGTATTAACGACAAAATCGCCTTCAAAGGATAACAAATATCCTTCAGCACCTTCAAAGGACAACAACAATGGAAAATATCCTTCAGCACCCTCAAATAATAACAACAACGGAGGATACCCCTCCGGAGATAATATAATCGGAACAACAACATCACCTTCAAACAATAACAAATATCCTTCAGGCCCCTCAAATAATAACAGTAACGGAAATTATCCTTCAGGAGTTGATGTAACTACAACACAATCGCCTTCAAAGGATAACAATGGAAGCTCAAGTAATGGCAGTGAGGGTCAAAATTCCATTAGCTTAACAGCTGAAGAAAATGGCAGCTGGGTTAGCGGTGCGAACTTCAGACTGGTCTTCAAAAATAATGGCAACGTTAAAGCATGTGCATTAAAATTAGAGTTTCACCGGAAGTTCCGGTTCCGGTTCCGGTTCCGGAAAGTTCCGGTGTTTTTTTGGTTCCGGTTCCGGTTCCGGGAACCGGAACTCAAATTGGTTCCGGTTCCGGTTCCGGCTCCGGTTTACAAATCGGTTCCGGCCAAACCGGAACTTTTTTACACCCCTAAAGATTGATTTTTTTAGAAAAATTAATAAACTACTCGTACACTCATGCTTGTGTATTAAAAAAAATCGAAAGAAATATGTTTATTTTCTGTCATTTGATATAATGTAAGCGGGTGGCCGAGTGGTTAAGGTGTTAGAATTCACCCTTGGCGTGAATGATTTAATGATGGTTCGCTTCCAAGGAATAGGACAATTAATCTGCATGTTTTTCTTTTTTTAAAAACTTATTTTATAAGTTTATAATTTTGTTTTTAAAATTATTTTATTTTTACATGGAGTAATTGTGGTTTTTTGGCCCTCTAAATTTCTTAAAATTTTTAGTTTGACTTATATGTAAATAGTAATTTTTTTTGCTTATGGCCTTCATAAATTTTCAAAAATTTCGCCTGCGGCGCTGAAAAGGGAAGAAATTTGGCTTCTTGTCCTCACAGATTCTCAAAATTTTTCGCCTGCGGCGCTTAAAAAGAAGTTGAATGTTATATCGGAGGATTTTGATGGATTAATTTGGATATCACTTAACGACGACAAATTTTCGGCTCGGTTTTGGTTAACCAAGTTTCTATTCGGTTAGACGGTTCGGTTTCGGTAAACCGAAAAATTTGGCGAAACCTACAACCCAAATCAAAATGCAAATTTTTTAAAATTTGCTAGCAAAAAAAATTTTTTTTAAAGTTCCGGTTCCGGTTCCGGTTCCGGGCCGGAACTTAGAAAAGTTCCGGTTCCGGTTCCGGGAACCGGAACTTAAATTGGATCCGGTTCCGGTTCCGGTTCCGGTCAAAATTTCGGTTCCGGTGAAACACTAATTAAAATTCGGTTTGATTCTTAATTCTGGGGTGAGTATACATTTAAATTATAGTCAGCGATTCTGTTACGACGTAATACCTTTGTAGTTAACTTAGAAACAACCTGTAGTTAACTTAGAAAATAAACTAGGACACCTACGATAAATGGAGATATGTTTGCGTAAATTGCTTACCAGTCATTATAAGCTCCTTATACTTATTGTTATTAAAGCAGCAAAGGACTCGGGTTTTCTTCTATATAAGTCCATATAACTAGAGATCGGAACCCGTTCCCGTTTCCCTTTTTTAAGATGCCGGTATGAAACCGGATTCGTGAATTCCGGGTTTTCCTAGTACGGGTCTCGGTCATTTTTTGACCGGGAAAATGGAGGCGGGAAATCCCGGTTTTTCCGATTCCGGGTCCCGCAGGGTTTCTTCTGCCACAACTTCCCGTTCCCGGTTTTTTTAAAAATTCGATCTCTACATATAACTCATTAAAGACTAAAAAATTTCTAATTATCTTCCAATTTTAGCAAACTATCCAATCAATATGGAATGTGCAAAAAATATCAGGAGATACTTATGTTATACTTATGTTCTTCCAGACTATGTAATAATTCAAGGAGGTAACAGCTTTACCGAGGCTGGACTTGTTGTCAGTGGTCCAGCAACACTTCCTCAAATTAAAGTTCTAGGGCAGGGTGAATGCAAATATTGAAAATAGAAGTTTTGACTTGATAAAATGATTATAATTAATATTAAATTTAAAATTAATTTAATATTCCCTCGAATTTAAATTTAGTAAATATTAATCTGTAAAAATTTTAATTCTAATCAAAATTCGACCTTTTACGCAAAATTCGACCTATTTTGCCCTTTTTCGGATTTTATTAAATCCGTGATCTTAAAACCTCATATTCTTCCTGTCTAATATAAATGGAATCCCCTTACATTACTTAATTTATCTTATTTTACTTAAGTTTCCTGCATTTAAAACAGGCGCGGAAAGACTCTTGTAAAGGGTTCAGTTCTCTTCTTCGGTTCGGTTTCGGATATCCGATTTTTCACCGTTGTATACACCTCAGTTGTCTTAATAGTTTAATAAGAAAGATGGATTTAACTCTCGACTCTCGGCTTTTTTTAACTTCCGACCATCACTACTATACTACTAAAATTTCATAAAATCAGCTTAATATTGTGAGGATAATTAATATAATTTAAAGAGATTTTTACTATTTTTTCATGGGGGCCGTACTAATAATGGGGCCGTACTAATTCAGGGGGCCGTACTATTTTTCAACCCTCATCGAAAGGGCCGTACTATTTAAGGGGGCCGTTCTAATAAAGGGGGCCGTACTATTTCAGTAAATACGGTAATACAATTAAAGTTGAGTAAATATTAAAAAATACAATTAAAAAAACGATTAATTGTTTAAAAAAGTTTATTTTTTGTTATAAGGAGCGATCAAATCTGTTACCATACAATTCTTTTTCACACAATTCATACATAGTTCATTGATTGACCCATCTTTCATAACAACATCTGCCACAAGATCCATTATCCCTTCAATTCCGCTTGGGTGAACACTCGTTATCAGAGAAATATTTTCGACATTTAATTTAAAATGCTTCTTGGTTAATACTTGAAAAAGGGAAAAATTTTCAAAAAAATTTTTAAATTAAATAAACCTCCACCATTTTCATTGTTCTTTGTGGACTCTTCCAATTTTTGCTTCTTCGTCACTGGCTTCTTGTCATCCCCAACAGAACTAACTCGCTTCTTCCCTTTCTTCCTTCCTTGTTGTTTAGTAGCAGAAGAGGTTGTAGGTTTTGAATCCTCAATATACTCCAATTTGGCCTCCTCCTCTTCCTCCTTTTCTTCCTCATTTTTATTTTCTTCCTCTTCCTCTTTATTTTCTTTTTCTTCTTCAATTTTTTCTTCCTCCTCTTCCTCCTCTTCGTCCTCAAAAAATTTAATTTTTTTTCACTTCTATTTTATTTATTTTTTCTTCTTCTTTACTTTTTTTGATTATTGGACCTGAATTTATAAAAAAATTTTTAAGTTTTAAAATAAACAATTTTTTGCATGGCCTTGTTGATTAAACTTTTTATTAAAACAAGTTCCACAAAATTCGCATTTAAATATGATTTTTGTTGTTGTAGTTTTAGCTTCTTTTACCATTTTTTAAAATAAATATGATTTTTTTAAAATCTAAAAATTCTAAAATTTAAGAAGAAAATTAAAAATAAAAAGAGGAGGGTAATTCCAAGGCTTGTCCCCTCATTTTTTAAGAATGTGATGTTTTCATCACATTCTAATGTTATATACCAATGTTAATCGATTCATAAATTAACCCTTTCTTTGTTAATGTCTCTTATTTGGAGAGGCATGTCTGATTTGCATTTTGCCGCAGGGAATTAGAGAAATTGGGGAAGGAAGAAAATTGACAATTATTCATTCTTAAGGAAGGGAAAATGAAAAAAAGGGGGTGGGCAAGCCTTGGAATTACCAAGAGGAGAAAAAAGAAAAAGATCAATGTGAAAATGATGGATTTAAAATTTGAAAATTAAAAATAAATAAAAGGCGGAAAAAAGAGAAATGGCGTAATATAGAAGAGGAGAAAAAAGAGGGAAAAAGTCAATGGGAAAAATGTCCGAAGGAAGAGAAAATGTATTGAAAAATATAAAGGAGAAAGACAAGAAAAGAGAGAGAGAAGAAAAGAGAGGAATATGCGGAGAAATGTTATGAGGAAGGAGGAGAGGGTCAGGTTTAATTAATAAAAATTAATGAAAAAAGAGGGTTAATTAACTCTTTAACACCCTTAATCCCTCCAAATCCGTCGATACCCCTCTTTCTAAATATGTAGGTGAAAAAAGAAAAAAACCAATTAGCACTACTAATTGGCCAATAAGCCCTTTACCCCCGACTTCGATGACCGCGGGTATTGAGTAATAGGTGTTAATTGACCAATTAGTCACCCTAATTATCAAATGAAATCTCCCGAAAACCCCCTACACCCACAGGATATTGGCGGTAAAATCAAAGAAAATTAGGCGGAAACCCCCTACACCCTTTGGTTGCATCGGACCCCTCCCCCCGACTTCGACTGGCTACTCACGACTAACATTAATTAAATAAAAAATTTAATTTTTATAACGGTAAAATAAGAAGCTAGTTGGTGGTTAGGTAACCTTACGACGGTGGTTAACCACGTGGTTTTCTTATTTTACCGGTTTACAATGACCTTGTGGTTACCTAACCATGGTAGGTGACGATGGTTAGGTAATCATCGTCAGGTGATGCCAAGAGAATACTTTAAATTTTCGACTGCTATTTAAGCCTATAAGATACCTTCAATTTCATTCATTTAACAGGCTCTCAAAACTAGTAGTTAAACCAAAAATGTTTACTCTTCTATTATGTAATATTCTCTTACTGCTCAGTTTTCTAATTTAAAAACTGAGCACAAAATGCTCAGTTTTCTAATTTAATTATGAGTGTACTTTAAATTTGGAAATTTTGACACTATGTACTCTAGAATCGAATTTTTGTACCTTGATTGATATTTTGTCGATGAGAGCCCTGCACTAAAATATAAAAGCCAGTGAATACGTCAGTCTAGTTGGATCATACTAGCGGGGCTAATCACTGATCTCCGATGTCTGCTCTAGCACTTTCCATCTTCATCTTCATTATTGTACATTTCCATACCGGATAAACTGTTCTACATCAGATAAATCTCTGACATAACTGAACAACCCTCAGGGCCGGTAGTATAAGACGGTGGTTGCTGGTTAGGTGACCTACCAACGCCCAACTTTTCCCCTATAATTTAAGGGTCACCTCGGCATCTGCTACAATGGTTACCTAACCATCGTCTTATACTACGGGCCCAGGTTGTAACACCCTGGGTAATTCATTATTCAAGCGTTTACTGTACATAATATTGATGAATTTTATGTTGAGAAAACATTAAATTTGTCCAAAACCCGAGAAAATTATTATTTAAAATGTACGTACAGGTACGTATTAATAAAAAGTTCAACGTGTAAATTTTATGTTAAACGTGGAATATTGTTTAAAGCTAAACGTTTGTCATTAAATTTTGGTCATACTTTGTGTTGGGAAGATAGACATTCAAAATATAAATGACAATTCATACATTGGCATTATGTTATATTTATTTCCCGCCTATTTTCCATCCTCATTTTCCCTCTATTTAAGCTGTTCCCATATACCCCATTTCTGTTCACTTAGTTGTTCAGTTCTCATTCCTATTTAATTTATTCAGCGCTTTATTCTTCCACCGTTAATTTATATTGATTTGACTTAATAAATATTTTGACTGTTTGTCAAAGTTTTCTTTTGTTGTAACGAGTACACAACAAAATTGGCGCGGTCGACATACTTAATTTGACCGAAGTATTTTATTGAAATTCTACCTTATTTATTCGACTACATTTCGACTATTTATTTGGAATTTCATTTTATTTATTCTGGTCGACTTTCTTCAATTAATCGACAAATTTTGCTTCGTCAAATTTACAATTTATTTTTGCTTATTCGACTCGACAAATCTGAAATTTTTATTGGCGCAACCCGACTCGGCCAATAAATCAAATTTACGTACCTTGGCGGTAGTAAATTTTCAACAAATCCGACAAAAAAATTGTTGGCCTAGGCGGCTTATACAATTTCTCCGAGACGGAGTTTTTCTTCATCTTCAAAAAAATTGTTAACCTAGGCGGTTTAGACAATTTCTCCGAGACGGAGTTTTTCTCAACTCATCGATAAAAAAATTGTTAGCTTTGTAAGCAAAACAATCTCCTTGGTGGAGTTTTAAAATCAATCTATAATAATGGACGCCAAACAATTACAACAAGTTTTGGAAGCGGTCCTCAAGCAACAAGCCCAGACCACCTCTACAGCCAATAATGCAACACTAGCTTCTGCTTTAAGTGCACGCATCACCACATTCAATTATGATCCTGAAAACGGATCGACATTTGAAAGCTGGTTCAAAAGGTTTGGTACCTTAATAAACGATGATGGGAAAGACCTCCCTGATGCTTCAAAGGTTAGGCTGTTGGTAGGAAAATTGGGAGAAGAAGAATACGCCAAATACAGCAACAGCGTAGCTCCCGACACACCCGATATCATTACGTTCAATGATACGGTGAAGAATCTGAAACTTCTTTTTGCTGATACACGTTCATTGTTTGTAAGACGCTTTGAGTGTCTTAAGATCAAACAGCAACCAAACCAAGACATCGATTCATTGATTGGACAGATTAATGCAGCATGCGAAAATGCTCAAATGGCACTCACTAAGGAAGACCTTAAGTGCCTGATTTTCATCATCTCTCTGCGTGATGATGCACACGACATTCGGCAGAAATGTCTCCAAATTCTGGAAGATGCCAGAATCAAGAAAAAGTCCATCAACCTGAAAGAATTAGCGGAAGAATGTCGAGCTTATCAGCTCGTGAAAGAAAGCGCTCTATCACTGAACAGTCCACGAGTCGACACCAATGCCATCCGTGCTAAGCCACAGCATTTGAAAGATAAAGGAGGCAAACAAAACCAAAAGTTTGTACGGCACTTTGCTAAGGCAGAACCAAAGCTTACACAAACTTCAAAACCTCGTGGAAACCCTACACATGCTTGCGCATCTTGCGGCCGAACCGATCATTGGCGCAACGATTGCCGATTCAAAG